ACATTGAGTCATTTTCCATTACCGGTATTATTGAACGATTAAAATGTTTTTTCTATAAATGTTATACCGGAATCTCTAAGCATACCTCTTTCTGCAAGTGTTGTTCAATGTAAGGGTGCATTTCTGATAAAATTACACAAAAAATATATTTACAGCATTTTACAGGAGAGAAATCTGGCTGAGAAATGAGTATAATAATCAGAGTCTTCCTCCACCAATCTTATTAAAACATAAACTTTATTAATCTCATTTGCAAGGACACACCTACGATGCATAACGAAATCAAATAATATTACACAATGTGGTGTTCCCAGGAAATTAAAATTAAAAATTAATGAACATAAACCAATAATTCATAGGTATACAATGTTCTGATAGGAAATGTATCTTCTGCAGTATGAAAGTACGCAGTATAAATAAATATACCGTAATAAACAGTAATTGTAAACACCAGAAATCTTTTAATAATTCATGAAACCCCCCAAAAAATCATTCAGTTAAGGTTTTTATTTTACCTTAAGAAGACAAACAGCACATTCACACATATGGCTGCTGTTTGCAGATTCTTTGTTGATAACAATTAAGTCACATGACAATTTTGCTTTGACGATACCCGTTTGTGGGTCAGTGACTTGTGTGAAAATTATCATGTTCCAAAAATTGATATCAGTAAAAATTAAACGGTTTACAGAACATTTGCCAGTACTATGCTGAATACATTCGTTGTAAGTTTTCAATGCAATAATTCAGAAAGTTCGCTTCTTTCAGTGTTTAATAATCTTTTCACCAGACTTTCTCGGCCAAATGTTTCTGCTCTTTTTTCTTATAATCTTCAATATTTCTGGAAATTAATTCCTAATTTTGGAGTCAACAGACAAAACTTGAGTAAATTTTCAGTTTTTCCTCAAAGAATTTGCCTATTTTTGTCTCAATCTTCTGAAGGGAAATGTAGACTATAAACAAGACTATTTTGCGTTGACAAGAGGGAACTGGTGCTGAAAGGTTAAATTCTGGGTTATCTAATAGCTAACCAACCATATGCACAATAGCAGTGATTTTGTAAGCGA